CTAGAACCAAAAAGTGAAACAAAACCTTTCCCACAGAAAAGTGAATGATACTGTTGGACGTGATCATAAGCAATACGAGAAATTCAACTTGTATATTTTACCATTAAGTATGGAGTAATCAAGTATAAGTTCACACACAATATCATTCAGAAATTGGAGAGATCGATGTAATCCTATGCGGGTGGGAGGAGGCCACGTTGTGCTTTGATCGTGCTAAACAAACCGAGAGAGGGTTTTCCAATTTAACGCCACTCCCACCAGACACACACTGACCCGCCACCGCCTCCCCCCCCCCGTCCNATGCGGTCACCCAGCTAAAGTCATTCGCATGATGCAATTAGACAAAAGATCACATTATTAGTCCACTTCGCAAGGATTAAAGTTTGACTCGTGGGAACCGTGGTTCTTTGCGCTAGGGGTGCATGCATAGTCATAAGGCGTTTGATGAGAGAGAGTAGACGAGCCATGGTGTGCGTGTGATTGACAGGACAAGCTCATCGTGCTGCTCTGTCGTAAAACACCACTGAAAGCGGAACTATTTACAAGAACATGATGTATTAATAATTTTTCGATGCATCCAATTCTCAGTTAATCTAACGCAATTAACCTGAAATGAAGCCATCAATAGATGGCTGCCGAAATCGTCCATAGTTCGTTACTGACTTAGTCCACAGAAGTAGTCTGTGTAAGCAAGGTATTTACAAAACAGATACCTTTTTTGGTCAGTAGAAATTGCATATGGCACATTTTTCCAGGAAAATAGATGAGCAAATCAAAAGATACATACTGGTGGAGTAAACAAAAAATCCTCCAGATTTACGGATCTACATATGCTTTGAATATTGTCTCGTTTGATGGCGGAAATGGATTATATAACAACATTGTACGATGTCTTCTCGGTAGAGAAACAAAAACTGTAGTATTCTTTTGTAATGTCAAAGGTGAGATGGCCTGTTATAAAGGATTATACAAACAGAACTTAGGTGATCACTATTTCGTCATTGAATTTGAGGTACGTAAGATATCAAAGTTATTTGAAGGAGGGTGTGCTTTCGATCCTGCCTGAAACTCTTTTTTCAAATAATGTTATCTCAAAAATAATTCATCATTTTAACCATTTTACTAATCGTATTGCTACCATTCGTCGGTACATGACAAAACAGAAATTAGCCTTCAAGTTGAATGCATCAGACATGACGTAATTTCCCCGGAAATGATTTCGGTTCTGAGCCTATCGGAGCACTAATCGACGAAGCTCGCAAACCCTTGTGAACAGGTATCTCCTAGTACAGTTTTCCAAAATAGTGAATTATATTTTATGCATCCTAGTCCAATATATATATATATATATATTCCAATATATTTAGAAGAAAATATGTATCAAAATGTTAATCGTCTACTATCACTTATTTCTATTTGGAGATCTTAATCGATCGAGCAGAGGTGAATCAGGACACGGTTACCGAGACCCAGTCAGCACACACTGTGAACTTAGGGATTTGTTGTATTTTGATGTCGTGAAAACATGAAATACTGCAAAATAAAGAACTTTGTATATAGTTGTACCTTAGCTAACAAATAACACTATTTCATTTCAGGAAAATTTGGATTGTTGGCAACAATTTCAACAGGCGGCTTATGCAAATAACTTGGATCCACATTTTTTGGCCCTGTACAGCAATGCTGGGTGAGTCGCTGTTCTGACACATTCTTAATTTTATGTAATACCCAAAGAAAAACTTACAAGAATGCACACAGTACTTTTTAAACAAATCACCATTTATAATGGCACTTGTTCGTTTGGTTTGCAGATGAATCATATCATTTGGATGTAGAATTCATTGAAGCTCTATGTGATGGTTTGCCACTCCAAGTACCTGGGTTTATGTTGCATTTGACATGAGTACACAATAGGTCCTAATGGCAGTGGGGTTTATCTGATCTCCTGTTCCTCATTCAAAAGTGGTTATTCAGAAAATATCCTTCAACATCAGTTATGTACATATTTATTCATGCACAGTGCTTAACGAGAATTTTAACAACACATTCTGTAGGAGGATAAATATACCCGGGATTACAGAATGTTTTCTGAACAAAATCCGAACTACCAGAAACAACTGGCTTTCAATAGCAAGTGATATATAAATTTATTTATTTTTAAATTTGTACTACTGGTCGTTAATCTCGGATCACAGGACCCGATTGACCATCATTTTATAAATGCTTATTACACAAATTTATGATGAACAGCAAACGAGGTTAATCAAATAGTCAGGAAGGCCTACTGTTCATTCATGGAAACCGGTAACCTAAGCTCCGGAACTTATGGTGGCGAACCGCACGAGGTTCCACTAGGTTAGGCGTGGTATTGCTTAAGACGGTAGTAAATCTGCCTACCACCAAAATTGGGTGCCGGTGGCGGGGTTCGTACCTCGAATGATAGGGTCCTAAGCATGCTCGTTGCAGTGACTAAACCACTGTACCACCACCACCATTGAGGATGACAACGCAACCAACTTGAATTGGTACTTTTGATTAACCCTATGTGCACTGGTGGATAATGCGGTAACACAAAGACCTTCTAAAGGGAGATTTGCGGATATGTAATAGTGACGAGCTTTTTGGTGGTAGGCAGCTTTGCTGTCGCCCGGTTCTATGCCACGCCTAACCCATCGGGGCCTTATGTGGTTCGCCACTCCAAATCCCGGGGCTTACATTGCCGGTTACCATCACTGGATAGCAGGTCTTTGTGACTATGGAGTCCGCCCCACCAGATGTTCATCACACACTGGTTTGTAATAAAAAAATAACAAAAGTAAAAGTTTGGTCCTGTAATCCCCGAGTGTATGGACAACTGGATGAACTGACGGTTGTACGTGAACATGGATTGCGAAGAACGATCAGTTTAAACTACAATATAAAAAATGATTTACCGAAGATATTGACGTACATTATCAAAGGTGATCATAACTATTTTATAGAAATGCCAAGATTACTCATGTGACAAAAAGCAAAAACAATCCGTAGCAGGCCAAACACCCTGTCAGTTTCAAGTCTGTGTGCAATTGGAATGGGTTGTCGTCCGAAAACGTTGGGACTAAGATGATCAAGTGCTTTTACTTGGAACCCCACACTTTGCTCGAACGTCATGTTGCAATGAGCAGAGCTTGCGTTAGAACAAAAGCAATCAGCAACCAACATCACATCTGCTGGCAGGTAGTTGAGATTTCATGGGAGATTCGTAGAACCGTATAACGGGATACTACGAAAAACAGTAAACATGTTTCGGCACTGGAGCTGCAAGATTACAACCATCTAATCACGTGAGTTAATAGATCGAATGCCGTAAGCGGTATTTGCCCGGTGGTAACGTCACCAAATTATTAACACAGAGGACGTGTTTTCAAACCCACCACTGCCACCCGACTTTCCCCATTGGCAGGTTTCTGACTGGCAACCTCCCCCTTCCTGAAAATTGCATCAATAATTGTTCGTTAAAGTGAAATGAAAATGAAAAAATGCATCCAGTAAATTATATGTTGCCAATATACCATGATGAAAGTTCCGTAATCAATACTGATTGTGGGTAATGAATGTACCAACATAAGCGGTCATTTAAACACACCAACAGCATTAACAACTCTCGCTTGCTTAAAAAAAAGTTTGATTTTCCCTGGGTAGTTCTATTGTTCAACTACTTAATTCTAGGAGTATTTTATGTACAAGTATGTGTCCCTGTTAGGCCCTCACACCTGATTTACCATTAAGGTTTTCAAAGAACTCAGGTAAATGATAAACAATAGCTGTACCACTTCACCTGGCTTTCTTGAAACTACGATACTAAAAAAATTAAAAATCAAGATAGTAAATTCTCCATCAACTTAAAATGTGAGAACTATATGTAAACTGCAGACAAGAAAAATTCAGGCATGACTGGTTCAATTTAATTGAACCTTTCTCTCATCAGCTGTTTCAATACAGAACAATAGTGCTTCCAAGAAAAGAATTTCTCTAATCAGGCATCCACATGGTTCTGTGATTAATTTTCATTTGCTACTAAAAATGGGGCCAGTTTATTGTTAAATTCAATTGTTCTCACGAATATAAAGTAAAATATTACCGAGCTGTTTGAACAATAACAATTTTAAGCCTGTGAAGAAACTGCTTTGCTCCTTTGTAAAATCTCTCCGGATAGCAATTTTCAATGTTCAATTCGATTCAACGTTTTTGAACGCTCTCTTCATACATGGAGTTTTGACGATCGTGATTTGGAAAGGATAAAACTGCATCATCCAACCTCTTTTGTACAATGATTTGGTGAACCATAGGCTATCTGGCTAAACAGGATATTATGAAAGCGGAAGGATTGATTCCGTGAGGGTTCTGAATAGCTCGCAAACACTAAGCTTCCGCGCATTGGGCTCACTGAATGAGGATTTTTTGAATTCCATCGAGCGGAGGACGTGTGTTCAAATCTCATCACCACCGCCTGACTGTCCCCATTTGTGAGTTGTATGGCAGACCTTTGATTGGCCGCATGCCCCCTCCTAAAAATTGTATCATTATGTACTCAATAAGCACAAGTAACAATGAACAAGAAGAAAAAGTCCATAAGCCGGACTTCAGTTGAATCAACCACAGAAGCAGCTAATACTGGTCCTACCGCCTTAGCCAAAAAGAAGGGTTCCAAAAGTTCACACTCGTTGTCCGACCTTTCATCCACAATGAACTGACTTGGATGCAAACCTCCAGCTTAACTAAGGAATAAGTCAGTCGCATTTGTCTACAAAACTATCAGTATTTGTTTGATCCATCTGAAAGGTGGTTGATACAGTCGAATTGGAAAATACTTCTTACTTTCCTAAGAAGAAAAGGACTATGTTGAAAACCTGAAAAATGAAGATCAATCTTTTATAATGAATAAAACTGCGGGATAGATTCATTGATTCATTGACTTGGATGTATGTAAACTAAAACAGACCATCATTATCTCAACAGTAATGCATAATTCACTTCCTATGCCTCTCCTCTTCGGATGCAGATGTCCGTTTGAACTATCCGGCTCAAGTCGACGAAAAAATGCAACGCGGGAAACTACAAGCATGCTTAAAGCTTGGCTGAATGAGCATCGCAAAAATCCGTACCCAACAAAAGGCGAAAAAATTATGCTAGCTATTGTGACGAAAATGAGTCTCACACAAGTATCCACGTGGTTTGCAAACGCACGTCGTCGACTGAAAAAGGAGAACAAAGTGACCTGGAATGTTCGCAATACGAATTCGTCCGACGCCGGACGTGATTCGCATGGAGATGATGATGATGAAGACGAGCTTGGCCCAGAGTTCGATGATGTTTTGGATATGGAAAAAATGGATAATTTACTCAATGGACATCAAAATATGACCGAAGGAGTACGGAGTCCGTTTGCTCGTCATCCCTTGACAGTTTATCATACAGGACCTCTATCAAACGCGGAACATCGATTACGAACTAAATGCTCCGCGGCCCCAAGTGGACCAAACACTGCATCTGATGGCAAATTAAATCCACGACCTCATCCTTTCCGACCCTATCTATCGTCCGAGGAACAGCAAAGTAAAATCTGGTCCCTGGTTGAGATGGCTCATAACCAAGCATCACGAGAGATCCGGTCTCATTCGCCACATGGTAGCACGGATTTTAAAACATTTTCCCTCAACGGATCACAGCGTTCTTCAGAGACTGTCGATCAAGAAAAATATACCAATAACTTGTCTAAGGATGCGTGTCCAAAGTCCCAATCTCCGTCATCAAAAGGTGGCATTCCGAGTGGTCAATGCAGTAGAAAACTTGGTGGTGGGTTAGACGTGCACATACCGACCAACCTTGCCCCGAATTTCCCCACGAGTATAGCTTCAGATCCCAAAGGTCTTCCGCTTCTTTCCCCAGCGGCTTTGGCAATGTTCTGTATGTATTATCAACAACAACAGCAACAGCAGCAGCAACAGCAGCAACAAAAACATCAACAACCGTCACAGTCAGCACCAAATCAGCATATGATCAATTTAGATCAAGTTGATCACATGGCATTTAAAAACCTAAGCGATTCAGATCAACTAAAAACCGGCACTCCTGGACGATCTATGTACGACAAAGATGATTGTCAAGTACATCCAACACCTAGCAATACGCTCTCGCTCAATCCCCACCGTCCTTTGAATCGTTGGCCAGTATTGAACGGATATATGATCGGACAAATGACCGGTTCTCAGTCAGACCACTGAAATTTAGTATTACAAAATTGAGAACAAGTAAGTAAGTTCAATATCTAGTTAGATCTCTCAGTGTAAAATGGTCAGTATACCTTAATATATAGAGATGCAAATATACTTTACTATAGAATACGTGGTTTTATAAGGCCAGTAAGCATGTATATATTTCGGCATGCAAGTATAACTAGAGTAGGTTCTGACGAAAGTGAATAAGTATGCATGTCATGGGAACGAAGTTAGGTGGGCGCATAACAACCCCCTTTTATTTCGGGGAACTCAAGGCTGGGCAGAGCTGTTGAAAATGTCCTACTTGTCATCACTTTTACCACCGTTGGATCTAAATAAATAAAATTATAAATGGATTCTTTTTTCTATTTCAGTATCCACATTATTCACTTCTTTGATTATGAGCGCTTCATTGTCTCTGTTTTATGATGCATAATTGCTTATATGTTACCCTTTAGTGGTATTATTTCAATTTCACCTAATCTGTATGGTGACTAAGCGCCAAATCGCAGCCTACCTCAGAATAACTCGCCAGCACAATAATCATGATCTTCAATGTAGCCTATCAATAATACTAACAAGCTCATTTGGATTTAAGTTTCTTACATATTTTTTCGAATTAGGGTCGATTGATTCAATTTCAGTGCTTGTCGCTTTTATGCTCGCGAAAGGTTATGAGTCATTTCGATTAAAATAGTGGGATTGTGGAATCAACCATAAATCAGCATTGCCCCATGTCCATATCTTTAAGAATCAGTTTGGTTTAAACTTCGTACAAAAGGTGCTTCCAAAAGAAGTTTGTGGATTAGACTTGTTATTTGTGTATATTCCCATCGACAGGCCGTTGGTACGGGAAAAAGCGGGATGACTGGTTAACATTCATTTTCTTATTTGTATGCAAAACATTGAGTTATCTAATTGTTTATGTAGAACCGTCATTGGTATCGTCAAAATCAACGGCAAGATTCTAATTCTTTTCTTTTGCTTTCTGTTGCAGTGATACTCAATACAGTGCATTCATATCCCTACTTACAGACGGCATATTTTCGACAAACCTATCCAAGGGAATTGCGCATTTACCTAATTCTACTATCCGTAAAACAACTGTGCGCCTCTCCCGCTCCCCAGTCGCCCGATTAACATTCCACGAACGGAATAGTTCGCAAATGTATACAATATTATTATCGATCCAGCAACACAGTATCCAACCTGCCTAACTCACACTACCCTCCTCCCTTCCATCCGTCCTGATGGACCTCATTATCATCTTATGTTATCTCTACATCCTCCCACTTTATTTGAGATGCAATGTTGTACACATATTTAAGCGTACATACCTATATATGCACTTATTCACCCACATACTAAACTAACCTTGCATTTGAATGGGTAGTCCAAACTATTCACTTTTGCCCTGAGTTGCTCATGTTGTTCTGCCACAATACATTCGTTCAACTCATCCTGTTGGTCTCTATTTTCTCAATCTGTCTCTACAGGATAGTTGTCTATTAGACAAATAATCATTAGGTGAGCCTTTTGCGCCTTGCAGTCTCTTTCTGAGCTAGATATGTTCATGATGTGGGGTTCTGTAATCCTCAGATGTCTAGCATCATTCATTTGGATCGGAAAGGTTTTGCTGTGATGGCTGACGAAATGAACTACATAAAACTTTCTTTGTAGTTGAAACTCGTCAGCGGTGCATACTTTTTACGTCCGCCCAGGGGCTCGAATAAGGAACCTCCGAGTTGGAAACAGAAGCCTTTTCTTAGGAACACAAGCACTGTGAGTCAGAGTGCGAAAGAGCTATTTTTTCACTTAGTCCCTAATAGGGCCACACAAAAACCAGCAAGCCTCATGTATGTTTATCCTTATAACGGTTTGTATCTACAAATTTTCATTGCATCGTGAAAGACATTTAAAGGGAGTAAGTACACTCTAAAGCGTTATCTAAATAGCTTGGTAAAATAAGTTATGCTGTTTTGTACATCATTGAGTGAAATTCGACAAGTAGAAAAAAAGTTACCTAAAAAGTTACTCACAAAAAAATCTAGAGAAGGGATCAACCAAAATTAAAATTTAGAAAACTAAATAAAATTCAATGCAACTGGCTGAAAGAGGCTCCATGGATAAAAACAGTTTTCTGTAGCACACTGAAAATCGATTGTTTTACTACGGATTATCTATTGGCACTATCTAGTAAATCACAAACTTAATATGTTATTCATATTTCCGATTCTATACGAAAACGTAGTTTTGGGGCAGTGTTTTACAAAACACGAATCCAAGGTGGTAAATATGACTATTAGTATGTGTGAATTTTTTGTTATGCAATTTCCTCATCGCAAACTGGTGCAGATTTTGAACAATATTCATTTAGAAACGAAAACATACCATTACTCCTGATAGTTCATAGTCAACATGCATGGTACTTTCATACGTTATATTTAGTTTAGTCACTCTTTATAAGTTCATCTAACCAGCTGTCTGGTTTGAATGAAAATTCTACTACACACTTTTGAAATAGGAAGCAATGTTTTCCCGTTACAAATTTGAATAGAGAAGTCAGAAACATGGGTTTGCACAATGTATCCATGGTCATTTCTCTGCATCTGTACACGTGCATACTGCAGTCAAAGTCATT